TTAATTTTTTTATATTGCTATTATTTCCTATATATTGCATCACATTATCATTTTCTCTGTTTCCTACCACCTTATTTCATTTTTATCTTTATAAAAATTGGTTAATGTTTCTAATAACTATTATCACACTTAAGTCTTTTATGTACTGTACACACCTCTTTGTTACAGACTAAACCTGACACTAACAACTCTAGGCTATGATTGGCTATTTCTCAAGGCTAACTTGTATTGAACATACGGTTTATGTGACGTTGACATCCGTGCCTATATATTTCATTTCACTCATTAAACCTAACCCTTTAAGAAGATTAATGAACTATTCAAGAGCACTCAAGTTTTGAGTCTCTTTTTGAAATTCATTACTCAGAGGGCTGCGATGTGTCTAAAAGGTAGTTCCAATTAAAAGCAACTAAATTATCATTTCTGACATTAATTGCTTGGTTCTCACAGGTTATAGAAACCGGAGAAAGTCAGTTAATTTTATATTTTGTAATTTGGCCTGGGAAGCATCAAGAAATTTCATTTTACAGACAAAAATGATGAGAAGTCAATGTGGGACACAGATGGCAGAAAAATAAATTATCATTAACCCCAAAAAATCGTATATAGGTTAATTCTGGTGCATTGTTTTGTTTACATTGATCTGTTTACTATTAAATTTTCGTGGAGCATATGAAGACGATTGTAATACTAATAGTTTATGTAAACAAGTAGCTAGGTTTTAGTTTAAATGGAGCATAAGGGCTCTGGATAAGGCTTTGTCTCATGTTTTTAAAACTTGATCATAAAGGATTGTTTTACTAAAGTCTAAAACTAAAAACCTTTAGCAAATTACTATTTAGAGATAGGCTGTTATTTTCATCTTGTAAATTTTAGTAAATTAATAAAACAGTCCCCAGGTCAGTAATCTTAGAAGGAACACAGTATTTTGTGTTTATTACATCAATGGCATATTTGTGGAGGAAAAATTTGAAAGAAGTCTAAATGAAAACAAAGTTATTTTGGTAATGTCTAACAGTTCAAAAATAAAACAAATGTTCACAGGTTTGGGGAGTTTTTATTTCGCATCTGTACCTACATCTATTAAATTAGTTAACAAAAATAACCAGAATAAGTATAAAAATTAATAATTTATCACTACAATTCATTTTGAATAGTTACAAAACATTTTATCCTGTAAATATGAATGTAATTCATCCATTTAAGTTTATACTTTCATTTATCACATGCTCACTGGTAATCTTGATATCATGACTAATAAATATTTACAGTTGTTAATGAGTAAAGATCCAAAATTTCTTGAATATTCGGAAATTAATTGGAAATGTACCAAAAATAATAATTATTACTTTACACATTAAAGTTTTACATAAATGAAGTAAAAGAGAGAACTTACCATGTATAATTTACTCAAAGAGATTCAGCATTAGCAAAAATGAATGTGCCATAAGTATGAAAGAAGTTATGGATCATTTAGGTTATTTATATAGTGTATATTTCACACACCTCAGCAGATAAAGCAGCTAACAGTTTTGTTTTCATTTATAAAAAGTTTTGCATTTAACTTTATGTAAAGAATTAGGGTTTAATTTGAATACATTAAAGTTTTTGGGTAATGTGGTTTATAAATACTTTAAAACCAATACAGCATGTATCATAAATACATTTCAATTTTATCATATTTTGGTGTACATTCAAATAAATCAAACAGTGTTATAACTAAGTTTTTTGTATTTCTGAATTATGTAAAACACCATACAAATACAGATTTATTGCTGGATTTATGAACTAAAATAAGTAGTGGTCTGAAATCCATTAAAAAACGTTTAAATAAAGACTACAGTGTTATCACTGAGAGATCTAGTATTAGTTCATTTATAATCCTCAGTAAATCCATTGAATGTAGAAAGAGAATTAAAAACTTTGAAGCTATAGCAATAGAAACGTGTCATTTCAGTTATGCTTACCCTAGGCTCCTTATTGATAACATTAAAAGTCTTTCATCAACAATTTCAAGGTTATTTAATAATTTGGGTAAATTTCTACTCCAAACACACAACTTTCTATGGTAATGTCACTTGCATAAAGTACCACTTTGACATTAAATAAATTCTTGCAGGACTTTTAATTGATAATACATTTCTGCATTTTGGCCAATATTGGGAATTCTAATGAGAGATGATTGTAGCCTGCAAGTTGCAGATTTGTATTTATTTCCATACACTACGTACCTTACTAAGAAAGACTAAAGTAAATCTTTACACATGAGTCATGCTAGCAGATATATAGATGATATTCTTGTACTGAATATCAAGGTTTTTTACACACAGCCTCTTACAAATATATCCACTAAACATCACTCTAGAAAAACCTCTTCCATTTGGTGAAAGTGTAGTCTACTGCAGAAGAAATGGCATATCAAAGACTAGATTAGACCTATATGTCATTCATGGATTCATTCTTTTCTTCACTGAATTTACACATTTTAGTGAAGAAAGAAAAAGTTCACAAATAAGAATATATCTTAATTGGACTGAAATTAAGGCAGTGAAACTAAAAGTGCAAAAATTTCATATTTATTGTGTGTTTAATGTTATTGAAATAAAAATAATTTATTTACATTCTAAGAATTCTATTTTCACCATGCATTGTCCTTTTCCTGTAGAGCTAGTATCAGAAGAAGGCTCATGACCAAACATTTATGCATTATTTAAACAAATAATAATTAAAAATGAAAAACTTTTTATTTTATAACTTGAGAATGTAGGTCACTAAACCTTTAAGTATGCAACTTATGCTAACCTTTACCTACTAGTAATTTCACTATTCATTGTTATATTTAGTATTTTTCCAATTTTTGGTCAATGTTAGAAAGTAATATCTATATTCATTATCAAAAAATTGGTAGTTTTAGTTGGATAATTTTGTGGAAATTTGTAGAAAAAACCCACAGAATGCTGTTAATCATATTTTCAGCTTGTTATAGCTTTCATACTGTGTTGCATATATTATACATTTTTATGTATAACAATTTAGATTAAAAAAATTCCATCCTAAATTTTTGTACATGAACCCATCTATCATACTAAATGAAGGGTAGTTCAAAAGTATTTAAAGAATAAACAAGTTGAAAGTAGGAAGAATAATTTCATGTAAGAATAATCGATTATCTGAATGTAATCAATTAATGACCTCGACAATTAATCAATTAGTGAATTCCACTAATTGTCCACCTTTACAAATTAAAAACTTAATTTTCTTTTAAGTCTGTTTAAGTATGTATTCACCTCTTGCATTACTCACTTTCCTTCCTCCAAAGTTAATTTCTACGTGGTTAAATTTAAGTGCTTTCTTGATGTCAAAGTAAATCAGTATTTAATTGACTAGTAAATACCTGCTATAAAATATTGCAGAAGAAAAATTTATTTTTTCTTTAAGGCTGCTGTAGGATAAATTGTTTAGAATTTTAAATGGTAAATTTTGTCAAAATATGAAGTATTAGAAGTATAATAAGTTTTTCTTTTTCAGGTTAAAATACTTAACTATTAATGTGCTGAATGTATAATATTTCTTTTTCAAAATATATTTTTTGTATATTTTGTCTGACATACGTAATTTCTTGCTGTCTGCAATTCCTCAAACAGAAATATTATTAATTTTTACTTTTTGATCCCAGAGAGTCATAGCTGATTGTAGCACAGTTAGTGGTATTTGCTCATTAATGAACTGACAGCCCCATTAATTGATAGAATTCAATTAATGCAATTACCACAGTGTCCAGGGTTATTCTTTATTGATAAACTTATTCATAGTAGCATTCAAAGGTTACTATATAATATTACCTTTACCGCTTGCTTTATCAAGTCTATTATTCTACGTTTTAGAGTACTATATTGAATATTTTCCTACAAAAGTAACATTATGTAAGTAGTATAATATTGTGTCTTTCTGTACTGGCATGATCTAGCTATATATATTAACATACTTTTTAACAATGTTGTTCATTTTGGTTTATAATTCTGATACTATGTTTTAAAATCATGTTATTTCATGATACCTTCTTTGACAGTTGATGGGTGATACATGTACCCGTGGTTGTCGGTTTTGCTCTGTGAAGACATCAAAAAATCTCCCTCCACTTGATAAGAAGGAACCTGAGAATACTGCAAAGGCAGTTGTAGCTTTTGGTCTGGACTATGTGGTACTAACATCTGTTGATAGAGATGGTGAGATAAATTAATTTGTAATCAGATTTACTTACTGATCATTTTAGCAGCTTTGTGATGTATTCATATTTTGACAAAGTACCTTACTTCCACTCACAAGTGTAGCTATTCTCGTTCAATGCTGCCGTCTATTTGCAAAATTGTTTTCACATGCCACAAGCATTTCATTTCCACACACCCATCAATTCACGTAGTTTAACTGATTCTTGCATACAAACTATCGTGCGGTAAACTTCCACCAATAGAAGTGCCACACACACTCACCTGCCTTATGTGACTACCTCCATGCTATTCTACCTAACTATTACTTTGTGTTTGGCCATGCTTATGTTTGGACATCTAGTTTGTGCTCTGTTCAAGATTTTTTTATTTTCATATCGATTTGCTCTTATCGAGTTTATTGTTTATTAACTGACATTGCCCATTTTTCCTCCTTAATAAACCAAACCTGTTCGGGACAATGAAGCATTTGACAGTCTTTTATCTCCACCTGAATTTGCCATGTCTTCTCAGGTACATACTGCGGGATCAACTAGGCCTCATACGGCTTTCTTGGACATAATTTCACAGATATGTTCTGTTTTATCCATCTTCCCAATTTCCTATAATCCTCTCCCTTCCTTGTTGCACGATACTCCTTCCTCTCAGTATTTTGTGTTTTCCCCTTCTCCTGATATTGGGGTTCATGCTGAGCATTTTGTATCTCAGTTATGTGAGAGTACTAACCTGCCTTGCCCTCTGTGGGCTTCAGATCAGTTTGCTTTAGCCTACCATCAGGATAATTTTCCGTTCCTTGATTCTCAGCATCGAAAGTCAATTTTAATCATTTGGGGGTAGACCTTGATTATCCTGTTCATTTATCCCATGCCCAATTTTCTCGCCTTCGTCTTGCCCTCACATCTATTCTAACTTGTCCACCATCCACATCCTCTCATCTCAGTCAAGCCCAACCTTCTCCTCTTTGACTCTATACGATCCAGCTGGCAGTTCTCAACACCATTACAGCTCGCAAGGTCCTATTTCTTTTGGGGATGTGGTTTTCTTTGGGAACACATATCCCCATGGGTGGTGCTCATATGAGATCTCTTCAATGGACTCTCCATAACCAATGGAACTTTGTGCGGGATCCCTTGGATGTTCATATTTCCCTTCCTCTTTTCATTGTAAATGATCTGCATTGGTGGTTGGACAAGGCTCACACATTGCGAGTGTTCCACCTCCTCCCCCCTCATCTGGATTTACATATTTTCACAGACAATTTGCTTCACGGCTGGAGGGCATGGGTCGAGTGGAAAATAGTTTCAGGTCAATGGTTTCTTATCGAGCTGTCTTACCATATCAATATCCTGGAGCTTATCGCCGTACATCGGGCTTTGGATCATTTTCTTCATCTTGCCATTAATCATCTGGTTATGACCTATTTCAACAATTCTATAGTGGTGTATATCAATCACCAGGGAGGCACCTGTTCTTGTTCCCTGTGTGGTAGAATGTTGGATCTCCCTTTTTTTTTCCCTCATGTATGGTATTCATCTTCTTGTATGTCATGTACCAGGTGCTTTCAACCTTGTCGTGGATCATCTTTCCCAGCCAGAATAAATTTATCCAAAGGTGTGGTCTCTAGATCCTCAATTTTTCCAATGGTTATGCAATCAGTAGGGTACTCCTCACCTGGATGCATTTACCACAATCGTCATTACAAAGTTCTCTCAGTTTTGGTCTCCTGTACCTCATCCACTTGCTCTAGTTGTAGATGCATTTAGTCAAGATTGGACAGACAAATTCCTTTATGTGTATCCTCCCATCTGACTCCCTTCCAGGGTGATTTCTATCATGTACATCACTCTGTGTCAAGTTTTTCTGATTGCCCCTTACTGGGCAGCCCAGCCATGGTTTCCGTGGCTACTTCAAATCCAATCTGCTCCACCATTGCTTCTTCCCCTAACTCCATCCCTTTTATGGCAACCTGGCTCAGCATGGCCAGGTGGTTAGGGCCCTTGACTCACAATCTGAGGGTCACGGGTTCGAATCCCTCGTCCCACTAAACATGTTCACCCTTTCAGTTGTGGGGGTGTTATTATGTGATGGTCAATTCCACTATTCGTTGGTAAAAGAGTAGCCCAAGAGTTGGTGGTTGGTGGTAATGACTAGCTGCCTTCTCTATAGTCTTACACTGCTAAGTTTGGGATGGCTAGTGCATATAGCCATTGTGTAGCTTTGCACAAAATTGAAAAAAACAACAAATATCTATGGCAACCCTGGTCCCAGGTAGCTCATCCTATCTTTTATCTTCATGCCTGGTTTTTAGCACATTCCATTTGCCCTTCCTACATGGAGGTTTTTCAACATAAGTGGAATTAATTGAACAGAGTTGTTTAAACATTTGTTTAACAAGTAAAAGCTTGGAATTGTCTATTCTTTCATTGGGGGTGTGTCTATGAGCCAGACTAGTTTCGGAGAATTCCACTCCTCATCAGTGACTGTGGACACTACCACCAATGAAACTTCAGACCAAACCAAGCCTTTATAGTAGTGAGGTATTGAAATGGTGTATTTAAGTATCTCCTTGATTGCAGGTTATCAGTGCTGCCTTATCCCTCACTTTTCAGTACCGTAAAGTTTTTAATTCTCATACCTTATCACTATTGTTGCATTCCTTCCAGATTAGTTAACATCCAAGGCATGCGGTCTTCTGGATTGGGATGTCAGTGTGGTGCTGCACTGCTTTACTTTACATCCGTTTAAACCTTTGTCACCTTTTTCCATGCTTCAGTTATTCTTTAAGGCATATTTCTTTCTCCATTTAGCCTGTAGATGTCATCAGTAGACATGTTTTCTATCAACATTTCACAAACTCTGTACAATTCCACTTATATTCTCCTTTACCCAAATTGATCTTTCCCAAAACTTCGGGGGCGTGGGAGTGTAATTATTCCTTCTTTCCAATTTCCCTTCCTTCCATTTCCTACCTCTATTCCCAGTCTGATCTGTATTGACTTCTATGTCTCGTTTGTGCTCTTTGTTGTTATATTGCCCACACAGGTTTTTTCTGTCATAACTGTTCCTATCTTTTCATTCCTTGGCAGCTATCCTTTGTTCATGATCTTTCTCCATTCACCCTTACCAATTGGGTTCAGTTTTTAATTTGTTTGATCTATTCTTCCTTGTTTCTATTTTCCTGTAATTTATTCCAGGTGTCTTCAAATCAGATTAGGCACCTTACATTTTCCCTAACATCTCATCTCCATTGCTCTTTTGAGGAAATACTTCAAGCGAGCATGTGGACCACTCCACATATTTTTATCTCTCACTATCTGCATTGTTTTGCTGTTTCTTCATTGTTGGTTTATCATCTTCCACCTGTTGCCATTCTTGAGACATTGGTGCAACTTTAACTGGGTAATTTTTCTTTCTTTTGTTATACATGTTATTTTCAAGGACATGCTTTGACCAGAATCTCACTCAGTGGTGAGTGGTACCTGTCCAGGTATACTTCACTCTCTTACTATTGTACAAACAAAACCTTCACTGTTCGGCCATGTTGAATTAACTTTCAAAATTTCCATGGCCACAAAATGTACACTGTTCATTACAATCACATAAACTAGACATAGGGTGTTCCACAAGATCAATCTTAGGTTATTCCTCATGATATATTTGCTTCTTAAATATGCCTGTTCCAGACCATACTAACCCATGGACTTCATGGATGAAGCAGAAGGGGATTGCTGCCCATCCTTTAGATTAAATAAATCGGGTGTGATCTGCTTTTCAAAATAGGTTTTTATAGGCACCCATTGCACTGTCTCTGGTATGAACATTCCTCTGGACTCTCCACCTTGTTTTTCTTCCCATTTCTTCCAGTGGAGTACGAGAGTCCCTACCACTTTCCACTTCTAAGCTACTGGGGTGGTGGACCATGGAGGTATATAAACAATAAAGATTCCATTCAGTTGAAAGGTAGGGTGGTGATGTTCTGTTGGTGCAGATGATATGTCCTCCAAATGGACACTCTATCTCTGTCTGAGGGTATGTTGTAGCTTTGGAGTGAGGCATCATAATACCCTCATCATACCCCCCCCCTCCAATGTTGATTCCCAGCAGTTGAGTTTTGGACTTAGAGCTAAACCAATCCACATCATGTTCACCCACATGTAGTGTGATTGGGATCTCTCATCCTACCACTGTATGGATGTCAGTTCCTCCCAGCGATTGAGTTTTGGATTGTAGTTGACTTACCAATGGTATGATCCTCATCCTACCCCTACAGAGATGTTTCGTTCCCAGCGGTTAAGTTTTGGATGCAGTTGTCTTGCCGTGTACGGTCTGTTAAACCCTAACCACTCTACACCTTGGGGCACATCCCTTAATTTACCCACATTCTGTTCATAAGGGAGATTGAAATTATTATATGTTGTGGTTTGAGTCACTGTCCAACCTGTGTTCTCTCACATTGAGATGTACTCCTCACAATTTTCTGCCCAGATCTGCCTCACTTTTTCCACATCTGGGTGAACAGTATATCTGGTAGTGAAGTGGTGCAGTCTCCCACATATAATCCTTTTATTAGAGGGTTCCCTTGTTATGGTGTCCTTCGTATGCTTCTCTTTGTCCCTCGCACTGGTCCCTCCACCTATTCAATGTAGGATTGTATGTGAGTGGAAGTAAGGTACCTTGTTGGAAGCTATAATTTTTTATACTGAAAATGTATTTCCAACAGCTACTTACTTCTGCTCACACTTCCCACCCTTCCTCATCACTGTCAACAGGAGCTTAAGTTTCTGCCTAAATTCGAAGTGATAGGTAGGTAGAACAGCATAGAGGGAGTCACGAGTCATGTGGATGTTTGGTGCTTCTATTGGTGGAGGTTTGTTGCATGATAGTTTGAATGTGAGAATCAGTTTAAACCATGTCAATGAAAGGCTTGTGGCATGTAAAAAATATTTTGCAAATAGAGGGCAGCACTGAATGAAAATAGCTATGTATGTGAATGGAGGTTA